GGTACTCTGTCCCAGGGAGATGGGAGTTTTATTTGTAAGCCCCTGACTGGGGCTACTGCCTTTCTTTCAGAGACGCCTTGCCCAGAGAGGAGGAATCTAGAGAGGCAGTCTGGCTACAGCAGTTTTGCGGAGCTGTGATGGGCTCCAGCCAATTTGAACTTCCAGGTGGCTTTGTTTACACTGTGAAGGGGAAAACCACTTATTCAAGCCTCAGTAAAGCAGATGCACCTCCCCCCACCAAGCTTAGCTTCAGACCGCTGTCCCAGGTTGTCTTCAGACTGCTGTGCTGGCAGCGACAGTTTCAAGCCAGTGGATCTTAGCTTGCTGGCCTCCGTAGGGGTGGGATCTGCTGAGCTAGACCACTTGGCTTCCTGGCTTCAGCCCCCTTTCCAGGGGAGTGAATGGTTCTGTCTTGCTGACGTTCCAGGCGCCACTGGGGTATTAAAAAACTCCTGCCACTAGCTCAGTGTCTGTCCAAATGGCTGCCCAGTTTTGTGCTTGAAACCCAGGGCCCTGGTGGCATAGGCACTGGAGGGAATCTCCTGGTGTGCGGGTTGTTAAGACCATGGGAAAAGCGTAGTTTCTGGGCCGTAACATCCCGGCACAGTCCCTCACGGCTTCCCTTGGCTAGGCGAGGAGTTCCTTGACCCCTTGTGCTTCCTGGGTGAGGTGATGTTGCACTCTCCTTTCGCTGGCCCGCCCTCCATGGGCTGCACCCACTGTGTAACCAGTGCCAAAGAGATGAGATGGGTACTTGAGTTGGAAATTTAGAAATCACCTGCCTTCTGTGTTGATCTCTTTGGGAGCTGCAGACTGGAGCTGTTCCTGTTTGGTGATCTTGCCAGCCACCCCTGCTTCTCTCCATCCCCTTTTTCATAATGGCCACAGCATCTCTTTTCTGATCCACATGGTGAGGCAGGCAAGGTTTATTCCTAGCAGCTTTCTCTTTCAGTAGGAAAGCGAGACTAGCAGCTGAGACTAGCAGTTTGGGAATTCTGGCCAGGAAGGAGAGGAGCAAAGCAGAACCCCTGGCTTTAGGGCTCTTTGTGACCTTGAAAAACAGCCAAGGAAGTGATGCTGGGAGCAGGAAGGTGGGGTGGGCCGAGCTTAGGAGGGTGCTTGCTCTGCCCAGGGGGGTGCACCTTACCCCGAGGCAGGAGGAAAAGTGACAGGCCCTGGAGAATGGGCTGCCTCCTCGCCTCTGCTTCTGTGACGTCCCACTACTTCTAAGGGAAACCCTAAGATGATGTTTAACCTGGGCTACGAGGTCAGCCTTTCTCTGTCATGGTCTTTGAGGTCACTGTCCACTCTCCCCCTCCTCCACTTCCATTTCTGTGTCAGGGAGGAAGGAGGGGAAAGGTGCCGTCCTTGGTGGCTGGTGTTGGTTGTTAGGGTCTTCCTCCATTAGTGGCTGGTGCATGCGGAGCACAGGCAGAGAGCCCCAGGGATGCCAGGTGGTGGTGCAGCTGCTGCCCACGTCCACTGGGCTCCATCAGGTCCCCAGGACCGAGCTTCGGCAGCTAGAATGGTTGCACACCTGAAACCACCTTTGCAAAATTATGACTGAGACAGTGAATAGATCTAACTTAACTGACTCCATCTTGCTTCTAACCTCCAAGCCGTCCTTGTTCATTCCTGGGCACAGGCTGACCTAACTTTGGGAGCACAACTTAGTATTTATAGTTTAAACGAAGACGATAACAGCCCTTTCCCAAAGCAGACCTCTTTCTTGACTGGAGACTAGATTGCCTTTGTAGGACTAACATTGGCCGCAAGGTCAGAAGTGATGGTTTAGGAGTCATGTAGCTGGAGGCTACAAGATTCTGACTCCCTCTAAACTGCTCCTGACATCAATGCTTGAGATATTTTGCAGACCCTGCACTTGATGGATCAGCTGGCACCATCCAGATCAGTAAACTGGCTCATCTGATCTTGTGGCCCCCCACCCAGGACCTGACTGAGCACAGGAAGACAGCTCCGACTCCTTACGGTTTCATCTCTGACCAGTCAGCACTTCCGGCTCACTGGCTTCCCCCCACCCACCAAATTATCCTTAAAAACTCTGCTCCTAAATGTTTGGAGAGACTGATTTGAGTTATAATAAAACTCCAGTCTCCTGCTCAGCCAACTCTGGGTGAATTGCTCTTTCTTGATTGCAGTTTCCCTGTCTTGATGAATCAGCTGTATCTAGGCAGTGAGCACAGTGAACCCCTCAGGTGGTTATACACCCAGTGAAGTTGAAAAGCAGGTTCCACCCAGAGTGGAGCTTTTCCTGACATGACGTTCCACCCCGTGGTTGTTGGTGCTGGAGTGTGAGTCACAGGCACAGCCCAGGTATTTGAGATGCAGTGACCTGAATGAGGACTTGAGCCAGTTTCCTGAGTGCCCTCGAGTCTGGTGAGCCTCGTGTCTGGGTAGCCTTCCCACCCACCGTGTCTGCTACCAGGAAGGAGCTGGAGGTTAAACAGGCAAAGCTGTCTTTTTTCTCCATCTTCCTCTCCAGGAAGCAGGTGGCTTTGGTCCTGAGGAGTGGTTTGCTCTGGGTGGAGAGCTTCTGGATGTTCTGTTGTTGCTTGCACATCCTGGGAGGGATCCAGGTGACACAGAAAACCTGGTTGATGTGTCCTGCGAGGGCTCCTTAAAGGAGAAAGTAGCCAGGTGACAGTTATTTTGTTTGCCTGGCAGATAGTGACTTACCTTGGTGGTCAGATTGAGAGCAGCAGTGAACTGAGGAGGGTGGAGCTTTGGAAGTGCAGATGAACAGTGGGGTGGTTACTTGTGTCTTGCTGCTTCAGGGAGCTGCCTGGTGACACTCAGTCCCCTAAGTCAGCAAAAGATTGTTTCCCAGGGTGTCATACTGGACAGCTGGCTGCAGGGGGAGAAGAGGCTGGGGGAGATTACCTCCCTGCTGGGAGCTTGCCTTGCTGTGAGCAGACTTACTGCCCAGAAAATAGAAGGGATGGGATCCAGTTAAACAGCAGCTGTTAAAAGGCGGGTGGGAGTAGGAATGTCAAAGTTCCCAGCCCTCCTAAGAGAAAAGTGATGTAGATTTCCGTGCCATCCAAAAAGATACTGGTGTTTTCCTGGAAGAGCTTACTGTGGCTTGCCAATTCCCCGGGAGCATGCCTTGTGGAAGCCTGCAAGAGAGTGTGTGTGTGAGATGAAGGTGTGCTGAAGGACACGCTTGGTGCTGGAAGCTGCCCTGAAATCAAAACTGGGATCAGCGAGCCTCCTCTAGACAGGTGCCTTTGACTGGGTGGTTAGTGAATGAGCAGTATGCCTGGCCCTGTGAGTTGGGTGTCAGACACATTCGAAGCTTCTGCACCTTGTCCAATCAAGACTGAAGTTGTCTTTATTATCTTAGAAGTCAAGGGCATTTAAAAGCTTAAAAAGCATTTGACATACATTAAAACTTGGACTGTTTATTTGGACTGTCTTAGAATCAACTCCAGATGGCAGGATTTAGTTGGGATTTTGAGAGGAGTGTATTTTATAAACGCAGTGAATCTTGCCATCAATGGCTCCCTAGAGTCAACACGAGTTACCCTTTCTCGGTCATGGGGTCCACAGTTAACATTTACTGAGCTGGAGCACGCCAGCACCGTCCCTGGGCACTTGAGTTTGCTGTTAAGTGGAAAACGCAGAGAAATAAACCTGAAATGAAAATCAGAGCAATCGATATAAAAGTAAAGTTTGCCCAGGGCGTGGGGAGGGAAGACAAGTGAAGCATTTTCCTGACTTGCGGAAACTCCAAAAGCAAAAAGGCCTGGGAGGTTGAGATGCGTTCTGGAAGGGTGAGCCAAGCTGGAGTCAGCGCAGTGAGACCTGCAGTGGGACGAGCGAAGGGGTCTTCCTCGGGTATTCTAGGAGCTGGGCACAGTGCTCTCCTGAGGGGCCAAAGAACCTCAGAAAGATTTTTTCTTTTTTCCTCCATGCGTGCGAACATCACCATCGAGTCCTGAGTCAGCAGTAAAGCAGGCTGGTGTCCCAACCCCATGAACCCACCGTGAACCCGCACTCTGACTGTGGCGTCCTGTGCCAGCCGTGGGTTCTTGGCTGCTCGCCATGGCCAGGCTCTTGGCCAGGGCCTCGTGCAGAAGCTCAGGAGACAGCTGCCCGGGTCTCTGGGTTGTGAAGCGGGAGTCAGGATCCAGATCCTTCCCAGGCTCATCCCCGTTCCCTACACTTCCTGCCTCCCCCAGGAGGGCGGGGGGTTTTTGGGTGTGTGTTCCAGGGAGTAGCACTTTGGGATTTGTGTTTTTAAAAAGAAAACTCTGGAAATCATGAGGGCTGAGGAGCTTCAAGAGAGACCACAGGGAAGACAGGTGCAGAGCTGGGTACCGTGGGGAGCTGGGGCATTGAGAGGACCCAGACATGCATGTTAGGCCAGGTCTGCTTTTCCGGAAAGCTCCCTGAGTAGGGGGAGATTGTGGCAGTTTTTGGAGCTGCTAGAATTGGCTGCCCTTCTACCAAACAGGCAAGTGAGTCAGAGGCCACACTAGGTGGCCCCTCTGCTCACAGGGACCTGGAGACATGGTAGAGGTGTGGGGAAGCTCAGTGCTGTGGGAGGGAGGTGGAGGAGAGGGTCTTGCCTGGGCACTGCTGCCCTGATGTGTGTGACGCCGCTGCTTCGAGTGGCTGTGGGTTCTCAGCGCTGGCTGTACCTGAGGGCCCCCTCACGCCGTGAAGTGGCCTAAAAATGGAAACATCCTCGTCCCCCTTCCGAGATCCTGGGACAGTGGGGCTGGAACGTACTCGCTGGAGCCCTGGAGTCTGGTGTGGGCCCCCGATCACCTCCCACGGTTCCCGCCCAGATCATGTTGGGGGTTTCCCTGCACTCTGGGGGTCGATGCTCACTTCTCAGTTTAATGTACTTTCCTTGCTGGTATTTGTTTGTAAAACTTTCTAGTTCCTATGTAATAGTGAAAAATACCCTTTGATTATTAAAAAATTCCCTGTATTCACTTTGAAAATGATTGGTTTCTGTTTTTGTGTTTTAGGATACAAAACTATGGATAATAATGGAATATCTTGGTGGAGGCTCCGCACTAGATCTAGTAAGTATTACACTGGATGCAGAATACATATAAACCTTTTTTTCAGGAAGCCGGGGTTTTAAAGAATCCGTTGTATGTATCCATTTATTTTTCTTTCAAGCTGTATTAAAAAAGGAATGAAACTATTCCTTATGTGTTTTTGCTTCGTATGTATTACTAAAAATTGTTGATCTACTTTTCTTTTTTTTTTTTTTTTTTTTTTTTTTTTGAGACAGTCTTGCTCTGTTCACCAGGCTGGAGTGCAGTATGCACAATCAGCTCACTGCTACTTCCACCTCCTGGGTACAAATGATTCTTGTGTCTCAGCCTTCCAAGTAACTGGGACTACAGGTGTGTGCCACCATGCCAGGCCAATTTTTTTTTTTTTTTAAGTAGAAATAGGGTTTCACTATGTTGGTCACACTGTTCTCAAACTCCTGACCTCAAGCGATCTCCCCCACCCCCCCCCACTCAACCTCCCAAAGTGCTGGGATTATAGGGATGAGCCACCACACCCAATCTATAGTTCTACTTTTTAAACCAGCTGTTTCGTTTGATGGGAAACCAATAAATCCATTCATAGAAGGAAGCAATGAAGGATCATGCCTAGAATTACCTCACCTAAGAACGGTTCGGTAGCTTATTTTCCAAAACAGATTTTATTTACTTTTGTAGAGCTGTTATCTCATCATTGTTTAATATTTCACACGACAACTTAGTTTCCACAATGAGCATACAATATTTTCATTTTGGAAGTAGGGGGCAGGCTGTGATTACTGAGGTCGGGTGTTGGATGTGGGAGCATGGTCATGCCCAGGGGAGCACACACTTTACCGCTTGCCGGTGCTGCCAGCGTGTGGAGGTGGGGCTGGCCTGTACCAGGGGTGTCTCCTCTGAACTCCCCTGCAAGCGACTTCTGTGGCCTCCAGTCCACACATCAGGTAGTGGAAGCCAGGTGGAGATGGCTGTACTGTCCTGGTCTGAGATTCACTTGCGTAAAACTTGGCTTCCTGTTGGGTTTTGATGCAGTGCTCACAGATAACCAGCATATATCACAAGCACAGTTGAAGTCATCCTCGAAACGTAGTAAATGCAGACTTTTTTTTTTTTTTTTAAAAGAATTTGTACAGCCATTTAGCACTTGCTCCCTCATCCCCACTGTGGTTATGCAGCAAAGTCGCTGTGATAAGCACTCTTTCCCCACCCCTCCTATAAGCACAGGGCATTTAGGTGGATGGTGATTTTCAAGATAGGCCGGATCTGTCTTTGTAGTATTAGAGGATGGGTCCCGGATGATAGACAGCCATCAGGATGACGGGCCTGCAGTTTCCACTGCTGTTGCAGGGAGAGAGAAGGAAGGTGTTTTTTTTTTTTTTTTTTTTTTTTTTTTTAGTATAGCCTGCACAGATTTGATTCATTAAGGAAAGAAAGCCCCTTTGAGAGGAAACTTCTTAGGCCTGGTACAGTGGCTCATGCTTATAATCTGTGCACTTTGGGAGGCTGAGCTGGGAGGATCACTTGAGCCCAGAAGTTTAGGACTGGCCTGGGCCACACTGCGAAATCCCATCTCTACAAAAAAATTTAATAAGAAATAAAATAAATAATTTAAAAAAACTTCTTTCTCACAGTAATAGTAGCAGTTGCTAGGTTTGTTTTCGGGGAAAAGATAAACTTCCAGGAGGCTAATGTACCCAATTTACATACTCAGACACTGTTACAAACCATAGAAACAATTACCTCAGGGATTAATAAATAGCAATTTTATTATATAATATCTGTTATATAACAAATCCCAAATTATTAGGATTTAAGCTCTTGCAGCTGCATTCCCCGAAAGTTGGAGAGCTTTAGCTGCAGATTTTTAAAATTCTAGTACAAAGGTCTCGGAGGCCGTTGGCTCCTTGGCTTTCTTTCCTAGGTGTTTTTGGGTACCAGGGGCGAGCCTTCTGGTAAGGGAACCACATATGTTAGGGCAGATCCTGGCTGCTCTGTGAGTTTCTGGGCTGTTTGTTTCCTGGAGTGAAATCCCCCAGCCTGTGCCTGGCTCCTGCCAGGGCCTGCGGGGTGCCCTGTGGTCAGCGGCAGGTGCAGGCAGGGCTGCGGGGTTTCCTCATGGGCTCTGCTTTGCCTCTCTGCTGGCTTGGCTTCATTCAGCAAAGCTGTTTTTTTCTGGCTCTTTGTATTTTTTAAGGGTCTTTTAGTGGACTGTAATTGTTTGGGCAAAATCATGTGTTTTAAGTGAAGAAGATTTAAGTTTTTATCCTTGTTCATTAACATGGAGGTGCTTCTGTTTTGTCTCAGAGTGCTCATAAGATAAAATTTAAGTAACTTTAAGAATTTGTTCTCTTCTTAGTTAGAACCTGGCTCGTTAGATGAAACCCAGATCGCTACTATATTAAGAGAAATACTGAAAGGACTTGATTATCTCCATTCAGAGAAGAAAATCCATAGAGACATTAAAGGTAAGAGCACATCCGTTTTCTTGCCTTTGAGACACTGAAGGTGGAGGTGGGTGGCCGCGGGGTTTCCTCGTGGGCTCCGCTTACTTCTCTGCTGGCTCGGCTTCATTCAGCAAAGCCGTTTTCTCTGGCTCTTTGTTTTTTTAAAGGTCCTTTAGTGGACTATAATTGTTTGCGCAAAATCAAGCCTTGCCTGGGCTGAGCTGGCTCTGAGGGGGTCTGACAAAAAGTGTAGCTCTGGTGCCTGTTCTCGGGCTTGCCACCTGGCTGGGGACAAGAAGCGCGTGTTCCTTGCGGCAGTGCACGGAGTCGTGAGTCCACGCCGTCTAGGGCGCCCTTGGCTTTCCTTTGCAGCGGCCAACGTCCTGCTGTCTGAGCACGGTGAGGTGAAGCTGGCGGACTTTGGCGTGGCTGGCCAGCTGACCGACACCCAGATCAAAAGGAACACCTTTGTGGGCACCCCGTTCTGGATGGCACCCGAGGTGATCAAGCAGTCGGCCTACGACTCCAAGGTGAGGGGAAGGCGAGGGCCGGTGCTGTGCCCCACTAGGTCTGTAGGGCTCCCACCTTTCACTCTTGAACCTGGTGGCTTTTCTAAGTTGGAAGGAAGCTGGTACCTTGAGGTGGGTCATATGAGTAGTTCTTCAGCCTTGGTTACAAACAGTTTTATCCTCTGTCTCCTGCTGTATCGTTTAATACCCTTTGCTTATCCAGCCCACCATGGCTGAGGTTTTTAGCTCAGGCCATGTGTGTTTGGTGGGGGTGGGGACACAGGACAGAGGGGGCTGGGAGAAACAGAAGGGCTGCAGTGGCAGTGGTGAGGGGTAGCGGTGGCGAAGGCTGGAGGCACATGGGGCTGCGGAGGGCTCCACCTGCTCTCTGGGCACAGCTGGGGGTTGACGTGCAAGTGTAGGATTCTCTGCAGCCTTGAGAGGACTGTAGGGAAAGGGGCTCTCTCCCACAGGAGAAAGGGAGGGGTCCACGGAGATGAGAGAACAGAGAAAGAACGTGCTTCGGGTGACGTGCTGCGGAGTCTTCCTATTATTTTTAATTCTCAGGATTGTCTTTCCCAGCAGGTCCTTGTCAACATGAGATGAAATCCTCACCCTTTCTTCCCACTGTTTTCGTTTGTCCTGCGTACGGTCTCCTACTTTTTCTCATATTCTTTTTCTCTGCTGCCCCTTCCCCTTTGTGAACTCTGTTAGATGGGACGAAAAATCCCAGGTCTTTGCCCCTCCAGGCTCCGATTTAACTTCAGTTCCCCCAGTCTGCTCTTCTCAGGACCCTGCCTGCAGTTAACACACCTCGTGATCCACAGAGAATAGGCTCTCCTGGGCCCCAGATTTCTGAGCAAACAAATATTTAACTCAGATATGTATCTAGGCCAAACCTTGCTGCTGCTTTTAAAGAGAAATCTTCCCAGTACTCAGTAGACTTCCCACCTTGTTAAACATAGTACAGGAAGCACCAGGTGACTTTCCCTGTAGACCCTGGGTCACTGTTGCCAGCCACAGACTGTCAGTGTCTGGTTGGGTATGGTTTCTCATGCCTGTAATCCTGGCATTTGGGAGGCAGAGGCAGGCAGATTACCTGAGCTCAGTAGTTGTGACAAGCCTGGGCAACGCGGCAAAACCCTGTCTCTACTAAAAAAAAAAAAAAAAAAAAAAGAAAAAAGTGTGTGTGTGTGTACATATGTGTATATATATATATATATATATATATATATATATAATTAGCTGGGTGTGGCAGCGTGCGCCTGTAGTCGCAGCTACTCGGGAGGCTAAGGCAAGAATTGCTTGAATCCAGGAGGCAAAGGTTACAGTGAGCCAAGATCATACTACTGCACTCCAGCCTAGGTGACAGAGTGAGACTCCGTCTCAAAAAAAAAAAAAAAAAAAAAAAAAAAGTCCATGTTGTAGCTTAGGTTGTAGGCATACCTGGTTCCACCATGGGAGGAGTGAGCCTGACCATCTCACTTTTGAGTGGTAGCAGTGGCCATGGCTTTTCTGAGCACTGTGGTGGCCTTGATAGCCACTGGCCGGTGAGTGACCGGTGGTTCCCCCCCACCGCCCCCCACATAGCAGACCTGGCTGGTCTTGGGTGTGTGTGCTGTGTGGGAGTGTCTCTGCCCCATGTGGGAGGGACACCGCCTTGGCTGCTTCTCATTTCTGCAGCCACCTTGGTTGTTGGCCCTTTTCCTGGGCTCATGTAATTTTAGGACTTGACCAGGAACTTACATGTTTAGTCCATGTTCTTTATTTTAAACTGAGACCCATTTATCAAAGTTCATCCGTGTAGATTTTGGTAAGGCTGAGACTAGAACCCATGTCTTCTTAACTCATTGGATGACACCACCCTGATTATTCTCTTCTCATTCGCTGTAGTAAATTAGCTGATCTACCATGTGACTGAGGACTCTGAGCTTAGATTTCCTTCCCTTCCTCCCTCCCTCTACCCCCTCAACCCCTCTTTGTCCCTCCTTCCCTTTCATCCCTCTCTCCCTCCCTTTTCTCGTTCCTCCCCCTCCTTCCTTTTCTTTCTCTCTCCCTCTTTCATTACCGTATTTATTTCGTATTGATTGTTTCATTCCTTTAGCCCATTCAGTGTAGACACATTTTCTAGATTCCAGTAATACCGGAGTAGATAAGAACAAAAGTCTCTTCTCCTGTACATCTTAAATTCATATGGGGGAGACTGACAGTAAACAAGGAAGAATTAACAGCACTTTAGGAGCACGCGGGCCATGTTGTAGTCACCGTTTTCAGTGAGTTACCTGCCTTAGGTGAGAAATAGCCCTAGAGAGTGGCGGGCAGGAGGTGTGGGCCTCTTGGCATGAGACCATTTCAGAGTTGGGCCCTGGCGAGATGGCATTCTAGTTGAGACTCGAACTGAGAGATGTTTGAAAGAGTTTTGAAAGAATCGGTGCACAACGCTAATTGGTAAAACTCCGGAATAAATATAACAGAAACTCTTTTAAAGATTTAAAACTTACCTGAAGTTAAGAATAATGTGAACCTATAAGTCGAAGACGTTGCCTGGTACCAAGCAAAATGAATGAACAGAGATGATTACATATGTCAGAATCTTTTCAAGAGGACAAAAGGTGTATTACAAACATTAAACTTAAAAAGTTAAGTGCCTTCAAATGAGGAAAATCAAGCTGGTATCATTCATTCACAAACTTGTACTGAGCAACTGTGCTGTGAATACAGCTGTGAGCAAGACGGCACGCTCCCTCCTCTCCTGAGGTAGAGAGAAGAAACGGTAAATAAGCAATTTCAGATCACACAAGTGCCACAGAGAAAAGGAAGCAGGCCGTGTGAAGATCTGACATTTTCAGTTCCGCCATCACTGCTTGCTTGAGAACCTTTCTTCAAGAGCTGTCCTGTCTGCCCGAGCCATCCCCACCCACTTTCCTCAGAGGGCAGGGTCTCTGTGGGCATTTCCTGTAGGCAGTGTCCCAACGTCACACCTTGGCCAGCTGCCTTCTTCGAGCTCTTCAGCATCAGGAGGCTCTGGCCAGGTGTGGTGGCTCATGAGCGCCTGTAATCCCAGCACTTGGGGAGGCTGAGGCTGGGACTTTGAGACCAGCCTGGCTGACATGATGAAACCCCATTTCTACTAAAAGTACTAAAATTAGCTGGGCATGGTGACGCACGCCTGTAGTCCCAGCTACTTGGGAGGCTGAGACAGGAGAATTGCTTGAACCTAAGGGGTGGAGGTTGCAGTAAGACCAGATTGCATCACTGCACTCCAGCCTGGGCAGCAGAGCAAGACCCTGTCTCAAAAGAAAAGAAAAGAAAAAAAAAAAACATTAGAAGGCTCTGATCTGATCAGTAGGTGTTGTAGCATTGTGGGCTGGATTAGAGAGAGTATGAAAAAGTGTGTCTGTCACATTTTTGGTCAGTTTTTACCTTTACTCTGACTTGTGTCAGAAGTTAGTTGTTTCACTTGCTTAGATCATACCCAACAACTCTGAACTGGAAATCATGAGCAAACTCTTATGTTGATGTGCAATTGACTTTCTGGGTTTTTTGATCTGGGAGACGGGTGGTGAGGACCTGTGAGGGTCACATCTGTGTCTGAGTCTCGAAGTTATCAGATGTGGGGTTTCAGGCTGGGCCTTAGGGCTGAGATTTCCCCTGCCCGTCCCCCACCTTCCCCCCTGAGTGTGGCTCTGGACTGGCAGCTGTTGTCACCAGCAGGGCCTGACAAGGTTGCTCTTCCACCCGCCTCGTGTGTGGCCCTCCAGTGGCTGGCTTGCCTCCTGGGCAGCCAGTGCTCCTCAGGGTGCACTGGAGGCCTTTCTGGTCTTGTGGCTCACTCAGCTGCTTCCCAGCTTTCCCTCCATTCTCTCTTGCATGACTCCTAGACAATATCCCCCCTAGTCTGTGTGCTGCAGGTAAGGAAAGACCTTCCTGTTACTGGGGACAGGATTCTGTATGGTAGTTAGGAAGGCATGTGTCCAAGTCACACCTAGGTTCACACGGTGATTCTCGAAGGGAGAGAGGGTTGGGAGAAGTGATGGACTTCACCTGCCTTACTAGCTTCTTCATCTCACTGAACTAAAGGGAATACACACCTCTGTTTCCTGTTTATGTTTAGAAACTGTTTGGGACCTTTTCGAGCGTTGTCACCTCTGGCACTACCTGTGTCCCCTTGTCTTGTCTGGGTTGCTCAAGTGTTGCTGAATGTGTTTGCATACAGAGGGCATCTTCTGTCAATCTCAGTTCTTAACCTAAGCATGACATTACTAAGTCTTTATTGCCCACATGTCATAAGAACCTTCATGACTAATATTTTAAGGGGATTTGGGGAAGTTAGGTTTGTTTGAAGGAGTCCCTATCCTTGGGACGTGGTGCCAAGGGAGATAACTCTGCTCACTGCCAAGAAAGCCTCCGGTTTCAACACTAGAGGGAGGTCCTGGGCTGAAGAACTCGAATCTCCCTTTTTCCTTGTAAGATTTTGATGATGGTATGTTAGCGAATGGATTGTGCTTGGTTTGCAGTCTAACTATGGTGGAAAGTGGAAACTGGTGATGCACTGATGGAGAAAAAAACATTGTTGAAGATGAGTGAGAGCTTGGTGGGATTAGCCGACGAGCTGCCAGAAGCCAGGCAGCTGGCCTGTCTAGTGCACTGTGCACCAGCCCTTCCTCTCACCAGGCACTGAGCCCACGGCCTCCCTGCTCCTGCATCCTGATCAAGAATTACCCACAGGCCTGGCTAGGAGGATGAGCCCTGAGGGCAAGGGAAGAAGGTGAAGCGGGAGGCAGCAGACTTTATTTTCGCAGATAGTAATGTTTGGTCAACCACGTGTTGCACTTAGTGGTGATAAACATCACGGACGCCTCTAGAGACCACTTACTAGTGTGTTCCTAAAGATCGCATCTGCTTAAGTAATACGCTTAAATTAAGTCAGATTTTGTTTTGCTTAGTTACAACTTTGACTTAGGGTTATCCGTGGTTTTCTTCCTCTTGATTATAGAGTTGATTGGTTTCTTTTAGAATTATTTTCCCTATATAATTTAAAAATTAACATTTAAATTGTATTGTATCTTTAGATTTGTAGCCAGTGTTCTTTATCTGACACGATAGTGTGAAGATGGAGGATGCTGCTGAGTAGACTCCCACCTCTCCGGTTGTCAGGGAGAGTCCTGGACCTTCAGTGACCAGGAGCTCAGGGGTCACTCAGGAGCGAGTCACAGGAGATCTGCTCGCAGTGAACATGCGCATTTGCCCCTTCTGACTGGAGCGTGTGTTAGAAACCAGTGTTTGTCTTCTCTGTCAGCAGTGTCTTAATATCTCATTTCATATCTTTCCCAAGTGGCCCAAAATGGGTCTCTCCTTTCACCTCATTTTAATTGCTTTAGAAGATGACTGCCTGTTCCCCACATAATGTTTACTTTAAAACTCAGACACAGGTCAGGCATGGTGGCTCACACCTAAAACTCCGGCACTTTGGGAGGTCCTGGTCGGAGGAGAGCTTGAGGCCAGGAGTTCAAGACCAGACTGAGCAATAAAGTAAGACCTACCCCACCTCTGACTCCTGCCTCTTCAAAGAATTAAAGAATTAGCTGGGCATGGTGGTGTGCCCTGTAGTCCCAGCCAGCTATCCAGGAGGCTGAGGTGGGAGGATGGCTTGAGCCTACGGGGTTGAGGCTCCAGCCTGGGTGACAGAGTGAGTCTCCACCTCAAAAACAAAACAAAACACCTCAGAGACAAGTTCTTAATCTGCTGTCATTTTTCCTAGAAGCAGTAATAGATAAACTCAATAATATGTATGTTTAAGTTTCCCTATCAAGATATTGTTGAATACCATACTTCATTAGGTTAATGTGCCATAGCAACTTATTCTTGTGAGGCTGACCATAAGTAATGCTGCTGTTGAATATTTTGGGCATATACTGTCTTCCAAATTTAAAATTTAGTATAGATGCCTGGAAGTGGAAGTAATTGGTTTTCACAAGTTTGGATATTTTTGTGGCTTTCGATGTGTTGTATGGCCACATTGCCTGCCATTGATTCAAGTGCCAGTCCAGGTTTCCAAATTAGTCATAGTTAGATGTCTGGCAGGAGAGCCAGCAGGCAGGAAGACCACGTGGAGCTCCTCACAGAAGTCCTGGGGAGAAGAGATCGATTTAGACTGATCCAAGTTAGGAGGGGTAGAGGGGACGCAGGGTGCTGAGAGCCCAGCAACCATCCATCCTGGGATGCGGCTGGATTTAGGAGGGTCCAAAGGGGGTCCTAAGGAGCTGGGTGACCCTTGGGCTCCTGGCATGGCTGGCTGGAGGATGGCCCCCACTTTTCTTTTTTGATACAGGGTCTGACTCTGTCACCCAGGCTTACAGTATTGCTCACTGCAACGTCCGCCTCCCAGGTTCAAGTGATTCTCCTGCTTCAGCCTCCCAAGTAGCTGGGACTACAGGTGCAGGCCACCACACCTGGCTCACTTTTGTATTTTTAGTAGAGATGGGGTTTTGCCATGTTGGCCAGGCTGGTCTCAAACTCTTGGCCTCAAGTGATCCACCTGCTTCGGTCTCTCAAAGTGGTGGGATTACAGACATGAGCCACCGCGCCCCGGCCCCCATGTTTGTTCTTGATGGGGTTGTGCTGCTGCCCTCCTGGGAAGCCAGGCAAGCGCTGTGTGGGTTGCATTCAGATGGGGCTGGCAGGGTTTTCTCAGTGGACTTCCCGTGGCACACACTGGCTGGTGGAAGCAGGTGTTCGCTCCTCTGTGCCAGCTGCGGCCTGCTTACTGTCTGTCCCTGAACCTGAAAACCAGTCCTCGGGCCTCTGAGTGAAATGAAGGCAAGCGAATTACTGACATACTCTTCAATAGAGACCAGCCACTGTCGGGCCCTGCCAGTCACTGAGTGTGCTTAGCTGATTGAGAGATGCTTGGAGGTCTGGAGGAGCATCTGTCAGAGATCAGGTTCAGTTGCACAGTAGGGTGATCATAGTTAATAATTTATTGTGTTTCAACTAGCCAGAAGAGAAGATTTGGAATGATCCCAACACAAAGGAATGATCCATGTTTGAGGTGAGAGGCATCCCAGCTACCCAGATTTGATTGCTACACACTGTATACTTGTACCAGAATATCACATGTACTCCCAAAATCCGTGTAACTATTATGTGCCCTTAAAAATGAGAAGGCTCTGGATCTGTGTGGCCGGGAGACAGCATGCTTTGAAAATAGCGGGAACTGTAACGAAATCTGAGATGCCTGGGAGGCAGACAGATGTGGAATCACACAAACTTGAGAGTCACCTGTTGGCGTGGAGAAGCGCTGCTGGGCATGGGTCATATTAGTCGCCTCTGTTCTTGCCTCTCCCCTCCTCCCTCCTTGTGCCTGCCCACTCCTGTCCTCCTGCTGTGGCCAGGGATCTGGGTGCTTGCCCATCTGTGTGCCCCCTCCCCCTCCTAGGGGCAAGAGCCAGGATCAATTGCATTTCTGTTGGTTTTTAAGATGACACAATGCAGAGTAAAGCAAAGAGTCCAAGTTGTAGAGGGAAGGGAAACAGTATTACTTGTAGCATCAGCTCTTCTAGACTGACCCCTTCAGTATAGGATTTAGTAGAAAGAATTTAGAACAGAACTTGCCGGCAGCTTTTTGCCTTCACTGAGAATAAGGAAATAGAATATGCCATAGGCATCATTCCCATGGGCTCAGGGGCTTCCAGTAGGGATTTCTGGTACTCGCTAAGGTTGCAGGAACATGGCAAGTGTGTCCTCTGGAGAGTTAAAGCACCTTGCAGCCACCACAGTGATGCTTCAGCCTCTGCATTTCCTGCTGAAGAGTGCGTGCGAGAGATGTATTCATTTCTAACTGAAGTTCTTGGAATAGTGATGGATTATAGTGCACAGTGAGAGCAGCAGGGAAGCTGTACCAGAGTAAGGCGTGTTCTCTACCCCGGTCCCCAAGTCATCTTCTGCCAGCCCATTTAGGACTATATCCTGCCTTACTGTCAGCTTTGGTCCTGTGTGGGGATTGGTGTCATCTGCTGTCAAAGTCTCGGCTGTCAAGTTCCTCTTAAGACTGCCTGGCTCTTCTCATTTACATGACATGTTCAAGGATTTCATTCCTTCACCTAACTGCTTGGTTGGGCAGGAGGAGGTGGGGCAGCTGGACTCGAGGTGCGCTGGTTGGGGCCACACAGTTTTCACAGGTGTCTCCCATAGGACATTTGGCAGAAAATGCAGGCACTAGAGAAACACAGTAAATGACACCAGGAAGAAACCACTAGACAAATCCAGAACTTGGGAACAGTTTCAAGTTGATGGCACTGGAGAGAGGACTGTTGTAGGTTGAAACAGTCTGTTGTACCCCGTGGACTGTGTTTGGATCCTGATTCACATAAAGCAGCCATGGAATGACTTTTTGAACAGTGGAGAACATTTAATTACATAGGACATGAAGGAATTGGTGTTAATTTTAGGCATTGATAGGTAGTAAAAAGTCACACTGAAGTACTCGGCGGGGGGATGATGACAGAGTTATTTAAAAATCCACTATGGGAACACACAGACACGTGGACAAAGCCTGTGTGGGAAAATGTTAATAATCATGAAATTCTTGCAATCGGTTTATGAGGATGCATTATATTACTATTTCTCAGTTCGTTGTATGTTTGAGCACTTTCGTAATAAACTTTTTTTTTTTAAAGTTCTGGGCCCCATGTAAGGCACCTGGCTCAGCCACCTCCTCTTCCACTCGCATTCTACAGATTAGGGAAACAAGGCTCAGAGGTTAGTCCTTTCATCCGATGTCACAGGACTTTGACTGTAGAACTGGCATTTCAGCCCAGGTCTCTTGAGACCACGGTAGCTGCTCTTGACCTCAAAGCTGTGCCCTAAGTTCTAAGCACTGCTGGAGGGGGTGACCCACAAGCGTACTCCCTCTCCGGACTCCTCCTGTCTGCTCACCTCTCCTACCGGTCCTGCTGCCTTCAGGGACTCCACAGGGAACACCAAACGCATCCAGCAGGAGGTGTATTAGGAGTGGCTTGATAAGCGGTCTTCGTGTAGAGGCAGAAAGCATTTGGGTTGTTATACTTTCTCCTGTCATTATCTCTTGAATTTATAGTGAGGACTTATGTTTTTAAATAGCAGTTAAAAATACCTTTCTCCAAACCTCACAAGTATTGAGACATGTTACCATTTTTCCCCTAAATACTGTTAATTGGAGTTGATTCCTGCTTGGTGTTGGTAAAGATGCTTTTCTTGTTGCAGGCAGACATCTGGTCCCTGGGCATAACAGCTATTGAACTTGCAAGAGGGGAACCACCTCATTCTGAGCTGCACCCCATGAAAGTTTTATTCCTCATTCCAAAGAACAACCCACCAACGTTGGAAGGAAACTACAGTAAACCCCTCAAGGAGTTTGTGGAGGCCTGTTTGAATAAAGAGCCGAGCTTTGTAAGTTTCCTGGGGATCTGAACGTCCCTCCTTAATGTGATTCTTGACTTGGTTTAGATACATCCTGTTGGGATTTCTTTAATCACTCTCTTCAGCTGTCTTCATGGAATTCCTCATTTTTCTTTTTCTATAAATAAGTATGATTGACCTCTTTGGTTTGCAAATACGTTTTATAAGTATCAGCAATTTTCTTATTTTCCTTTAGATTTCTGCCATCTCATACTTCATTGAATCTGAAGAATATTCTCCTTAATATTAAATGTGGAATCATCAAAGTTTAATATTGATAGAGGATCAGGCCATAAACTGTTACACTGTTTTTAGGAATGGGAAAGTTTAGCCTGGAAATAAATGGCTAAATATATCTTTTAAAGTAAATGTTTTCAATTTCCAGGTGGCATGTGTTAGGAAACAAAAGATGAGAAAATACAAAGACAACCGTGCCCCCCTCTTTGCTATCCCCGCCTCTTCCTGCCTACTTCTCTTTTTAGGTTTAATAGACTCTGGCAGAGCCGTACAGCAGTAACGACTGCGTGGCTTTGCCTTGTTTTCTCTTTGAATTAGGACATTTCTTTGACAGTTGTCAGTGTGTTGGTGTTGGATGCAGCACCATATGTCCTTGTTTTGTTTTGAGTTTTCCAGCAGAGTTAGCTGAAGGCCAAGCTGAGCCCACCTTTTCCTAACTCTTAATTAAAAATGGGTGCTTACTTTTACAAGAGCACCATGGTTTTCTAATATGCTGGTTTGGGTAAAGGAATTAAGTGGGGAATGCAACATTTTCTTTTCTCTTCTTCTTTTTTTTTTTTTTTTGAGACAGAGTCTCACTCCGTCACCAGGTTGGAGTGCAGTGGCGTGATCTTGGCTCACTGCAACCTCCGCCTCCCAAGTAGCTGGGACTACGGGCGTGCAACATCACACTCAGCTAATTTTTGTATTTTTAGTAGAGATGTGGTTTCACCATGTTGGCCAGGCTGGTCTTGGTCTCCTGAACTCGTGATCCACTGCCTCGGCCTCCCAAAGTGCTGGGATTACAGGTGTGAGTCACCGTGCCCAGCCAGAATGCAACATTTTCTAAGCACCTCTAAGGAGATGCAGCCGGAGACCACCACGCCAGTGATTGATCACCCCATCAGCGTCAGGTAGTGGTGAGGCTTGTCCTACGTGCCATGATGCTCTGCATTTTAGTACGTGATGATGTTTGTTGTAGCCACCATGCACCGGTGGAGATACAGCCGCTTGCAGGCATGCCTTCCCGTGCACAGCATGTGTCTAGTATGGGCTTATTCCCCAGCACACACCGCTCCACCCCGCAGCTACTGAGGAGCTGGCTGAGAGGCGAGAATATGAGCACCTCCGGGGTAGTTGGGGTTTTACCCCCATGTGGATGGGGAGGGAGAGTACTTGAGGTGATCAAGTTTCTCATGAGTTTGAATCTGAAAACGTGCTTGACTCTTGTAATCAAGCTTTCGTAGTTTGGAGTGAGTAGGAACTTGGTTCGTCTCGGTACTTGGGTGTTCCTTCTGTCTGTTCCAATTTGGGCCATGCTGGTTTCCTTGGGAAGCACCTTCCCTGTCACTGTCGCCGTCTTCAAGGCAGGTAGCTGACCAAGTGCTGCTTGCGGTGGCCGTGTGGAGCTCAGGGCATGGGTGAAGTCCTCAGTCCAATAGCAAGGGAGGGGAGGGACCTGGGAAACAGCCTTTCTAAACTGGGACAGCGGGCGATGAAGAGCACCCAGCTATTCTTTCAACAGACAGGAAAAAGGGCATCTGCTGGCTCCCTTATGGTTTCTTTGAGAAAATTCCAAATTGGCATTTCTATTACGCGTCTGGATGTGGTCAAACATTAATACAGAAAGTTAACAAAGTGGCCAGGCATGGTGGCTCACGCCTGTAATCCCAGCGCTTTGAGAGGCTGAGGCGGGTGGATCACCTGAGGTCAGGAGTTTGAGACTAGCCTGGCCAACGTGGTGAGACCCCATCTCTACTAAAAATAGAAAAAATTCACTAGGTGTAGTGGCACATTCCTGTAGTCCCAGCCAGTCAGGAGGCTGAAGCAGGAGAATTGCTTGAACCTGTGAGGCAGAAGTTGCAGTGAGCTGAGATCTCACCACTGCACTCCAGCCTGGGCAACAGAGCAAGGCTCTTGTCTCAACAACAACAACAACAACAACAACAAAAGTTAAAGCAACACAGAACACACATTTTGTCAGCCTTTGTCATAAAGTATTTTATAAATTAGGAGATAAACTCTCATGAATAATCCCCGTGAAGTTCTGTGCAGAGTTTTCTGTGGAGTGCATTTATCTGGGGGAAGTTCTTATGCTTTCATTGGATGGCTACCTATAGAATATTAAGGACCTCCTTGGAAACTCAGTGCTGTGCCCACCACGGCACCCGGAGTCCAGGCGTAGGTCCTGAGACTCTCATCCTGGGGTGAGTCACAGTGAGAAGGGCTGTGGAGTGGAGTCCAGTCATCAGGTGTCGGTGTGCGGCTGTTTTGAGGCCGAAGTCTGTCCTTTCGGGGGTGGATGGAGAGCCTCGTCTCATATTTGGGTTGTTGCGTGTGTTTTTCCAGAGACCCACTGCTAGGGAGTTACTGAAGCACAAGTTTATCCTACGCAATGCAAAGAAAACTTCCTACTTGACCGAGCTCATCGACAGGTACAAGAGATGGAAGGCCGAGCAGAGCCATGACGACTCGAGCTCTGAGGATTCGGACGCGTAAGTGGCCCAAGCGTGGTGTGAGATGGAGCCGCTGGTCCTTGTCACTTGTTGGGTGTGCATTTTGTTTCTTGTTGAGTTTTCTTCAGATAATCCAGGTTGGTGGTGATTGTTGTGTTAGACACAGCGTGGGTCTGTTTGGGCATCATTCAGCCTCTCGATGATGTCGGTGGAGTTTCTGCGAGTGAACTCTGTTCGAGCTGTGCGTAGGGATCTGGACCTGGCTGTTTCACTCTGTTCTGTTTTGTTTTCCATTACACTTCCTGTTCTTAAAATCCTGATGAGGTGAAACTGTGTCACGTGAATACCTGAAAGGCTAGAAAGGCATGTTTTTGTGATTCCCTGTTGAGTCTGGTAGAAGCTCTGTACCAGGAAGTGACTACTGAGAACCGCTTTCAAATTCAGCATCTAGTAATTCCTTTTGCTTCAGAGGCAAAGTGGGGCTGCAGCCATTTGTGTGGGGAAGGCTGGGGAGGCAGTCGGGCCAGGGATGTGTCAGGAAGTAGGAGCCTGGGAACTCATCCGTTCTGCACGCCTTGGCAGGAATAAAGTTGGTCCACAGTGCAGTTCCATGCTCCAGGTCAGTTGAATGAGGGTTTCTGGGGATGAGACCCTGAGTGGTTTTTCAGGGTTTCTAGGTGATGCCAATTTAAAGCCAAGGTTGAGACCACTGACCTTGGAAGTTCTTGAGGTGCTGCCATTGGGAGCTTGCAGGGGTAGCAGCAGGGATGACAAGACAAAGAGACTGGAGAGAGAGTTGGAGAGCCAGGACAAGGCGGTGGATTTGGGTCAAGGAGGGAAGCCGGCGTCCAGGCTTGGGCAGCGTGGCTGCAGGCGTTGTGATGTGAGGTGCAGGAAGCCGAGTGTGGGTGGACCGTGTGTGTGAGTCTGCGTTGTCCAGGAGGAGACGTCCCACGTGAAGTGGCATGGAGGTGTGGAGTTCAGGTGAGACAGCTGGGCAAGTGAGGCGGGCTTAGGGGTCACCGTTCTGTGGAGGTCAGTGGAGCCGAGACAGCAAAGGGTATCAGTCGGGGTGTGTGGGGGAGTGAGGCCGGCCCCTAGGGAAGCTGGTATGAGGGTGAGGCTCCACCTGTGAGTGAGAGGGGACAGGTGTGGCAAGGGGCGGGAGGAGGTGCAGGCTCAGTGGGGCCACAGGCATCGGGTCGATCAGTGGGGCAAAGGGATTATTGCCCGTGAGGCCCACTCGGGATAGGGAGTGACCAGCACATCATCATCTTATGATGGGCCAGGGAGTGTGCAGAGGGACATGAGTGGCTTTGGACTGAGTGGAGGGTACCAAATGGAGGCAGCGAGTGTGGATCCCGGAACCCGGGCTGAGAGACGGCTGAGGTGAGGCAGGACGCAGGGACGCCTGCCTTCGTGGTGAGAGGAGGAGCCCAGTGGAGAGAAGCTGATGTCCCAGAGAGTGGCTCCCAGGGAGGTGGGGGAGGTGTCCTCTAGGAGGAAGAGGAAGAGGCGGAGGAGAAGGAGGGTGGGCAGGCACACAGTGGCACCCAGGGGGGTGTGGGCACCACCTTCTGTGGTCTCTTCTCTGTGAGGGAGGCAGGGGCGTCTTTGGAAAATCCCAGGACTGGGCAAGGATGTGATGGGTGGGGATTTGGGGTTGGTGGGTGTGGATTCGGCGGTCTCCGAGTCCTCAGAGCAGGTGTGCGAGCACTGATGGGATTTCCCTGCATTTCTATATTAAGGGAAACAGATGGCCAAGCTGCGGGGGGCAGTGATTCCGGGGACTGGATCTTCACAATCCGAGAAAAAGATCCCAAGAATCTCGAGAACGGAGCTCTTCAGCCGTCGGACTTAGACGGAAACAAGGTACGTCTGCTCCCTCCAGAATGCTCACACTGACCTCAGTTCACAGGGTTTTGCAGGCACTTGCGCGTGAAGCTTGCTGTGGGTGCGGGTGGGGTCCTTTGTGGCAGCTGTTTTTGTTGCTAGGGGATGGACAGATCAGGAGCTTCAGTTCTGTGTGATGATCCAGGTGCTCAAACCCGGGAGTCTGGCCTCTGGTCTGTTCTGTGCCGCTCCATTCTGCTCCCTGCAGCCCTGCTGTCATGGGGTCTGGGGGTGAGGTCTCCTGTGAACTGGTTTCATAGCTGTCTTTGAGGGACTGTTTTGCATGTTGGGGTTACTTACTTACATGTCGTAATTTTGTGATTGAGTTTTAGGGACGTTACAAGTAATTGCATTGCTTTTGATATTTATGTAAAACAATTTTGATTAATTGGTTTTATGCCCGTTAAAGTTAGAAAAGGCTATCTATTTAGGGTCTTGTAAAGCATAGTGGTGTAGTTTCTCTCAGGCAGGGTGGGCCAGTGCTGTCCCCTGTTGATCCTACAAGTCCTGCTTTGATGAGTGAACAGGTGTTCAGTGTCCAAGTGGAGGTTGCAAAAGTAGAAACTTGACCTCAGTCCTAGACAGCACTTGGAATGGTTGATCTTGACCTGATTTCTATTTCCAGGTTTGCATTAGTAAGGTACTTTCCCTCTGTCTCCCTGTTTTTTTTTGTTTGTTTGTTTTTGTTTTTGTTTGTTTTTTTGTTTGTTTGTTTGTTTTTGAGACAGGGTCTCTGTCACCCAGACTGGAGTGCAGTGGTGCCATCATAGCCCACTGCAGCCTCAAACTCCTGGGCTCAAGCGATCCTTCCACCTCAGCCTCCTGAGTAACTGGGATTGCAGGCATGTGACACCATGTCCAGTTTATTTAAAACTTTTTTTTTTTTTTTTTTTTTTTTTTTTGTAGAAACAGGGTCTGTGTTGCCCAGGCTGGACTCCAACTCTTGGGCTCAAGTGATCCTCCTGCCTCGGCTTCCCACAGTGTTGGAATGACAGGCGTGAGCCCCCATGCCCAACCAGTAAAGCACTTCTGCACAGTTAGCGAGACAAGGCAGGGCACGTGCCTGTGCAGTTCCACACGGAACCCAGACACCGGCTTCCCCCGAGTTCGGGTTTTGCATGTCACTGCAAGTGAAACTTTGAAGTCTAGTGAGAGGAGATGCTTCTGATGGTCTTCTTCCGATGTCACGGTGCATGGAGGACGTTTCCTCAGCGTGAAGTTAGAGGCAGCCCCCAAGCTTCCACAGTCCAGATGTGAGGTTTATTGCATTATTGCCGATGTGAATGTTAACTGTTTCTCATGACCTTTTTTTCCTCTCCCCCAAGAAGAAAGACATCCCAAAGAGGCCTTTCTCTCAGTGTTTATCTACAATTATTTCTCCTCTGTTTGCAGAGGTAAGGTACCTGGCTGGCCTTTTCAGAGTGGGAGGCGGGGAGGGAGAAGCTGGGCACACGTCAGTGGTGATGTTGCCAGTAAGAGTTGGGAACATAAAGACAAGCTGGCAGAGGCTGGGAAGCCCACATCGTGTCTCCCCAAAGGCTGCCAGCGCCAGGCACCACCTTCTGCCCCTCTCTGTCCTGGGTGGTGCCTTTGTTGAGTCTCCCTGGGAGGTGCCTGCTCTGCTGCAGCCTGGAATGTGTAGACCGGATGACAGTCATCAACCTGAAATCCTGTGTCACCCATTGTGCTGCTTTTTAGCAGATCTCATTGGGTACAGCCTGCTGTCTTTGCCCCAGACCAATTTCTGGCCATGTGAAAAGTATATTCTTTCTCTAAGTAGATGTTAGATGCCCTGGAGTCCTCCTGTCTTCCCTGAGCCACGTGCTTCACCCAAGTCCCTCTTCTGCTCAGCAGTATGGCGCCCTCCCTGTGCCTGCCCTCCACCCACCTGCCTTCCCCTCAGCCTCTCCCTCCCAGACGAGGTGCCCCCATGGCTGGCCCAGCGTACACTGTGTTTTGAGAAAGTTTCCAAAGTAGTCTTTGTAAGAATGAAGATTGTTCTGCCTCTGGTTAGCAGCAGATTTGAAAATAAGTTGGAAGTCACCCCACCTTTCTTGTTTTGCCCCTTCCTGGCTGAGGCTACCTTTGAGGTACTCACCATGGGCCACATGTGTATCTGTTTGCATGGGGATCTGGCCCTTTCAGGGCGCTTTCCACTGTGGCTGTGTTTTGGGGTCCTTGTCCTTGAAGGGGAGGCCCTCTGGAGGAAGTGTCCCAGGAACTCATTCCCCTCCACTGCGCCTGCATCCCACAGTCGGGGAGCCCTGGCTGTGGGCTGTGCCTGGCCAGCCACGGTCCTGCCAATGCCTCTTCCTAGCCCTCCAATGAGCCTTCACCCATTGCCCTGCCCACCAAGTGCCCTGGGGGGTTTGTTTGAGGGCATCTGACCTGGTAGGTTGAGGGCAGGTGAGAGCAGGGCTGTGGGCAGAGCCCGAGGCCTCACCTGCAGCTTCCGTGGGAAACAGCTGAGCCCACTGGTGTTGGGGAAGCCACAGGGCACACGGAGGCCCTACTGGATAGTGTCCTGCTCCAGCCTTGGCACATGGTTCCGGGCACCTGTTTTTTTCCTACCTAGGATGTCCATGGTAGAGCGCCGTCCTGCTTTGCATTCTGTCCCTTGGGAATTGGCCCTGTGGGTTTTCCAGGCTGTGCTCCAGGAGAATCATTTGAACCTGGGAGGCAGGGTGTAGTGAGCTGAGATTTCGCCACTGCATTCCAGCCCCCTCCCCCTCCCCCACCCCCACCCCCTCTCTCCCCCAAAAAAAAGGAATCCGAAGTGACCTGGAGCCCGAGCCACCCAAACACCCTGATGCTGCGGTAGTGTCGTGGTCCACGCACCCTGTTACTCCTTGAAAAGTGCGCACCCCAGTTCTGTAGCTGCTGCGCCTCACACTGTTCTTCCTGTTCGTGTGTTTTCAGTTGAAGGAGAAGAGCCAGGCATGCGGAGGGAACTTGGGGTCCATTGAAGAGCTTCGAGGGGCCATCTACCTGGCGGAGGAGGCGTGCCCCGGCATCTCCGACACGATGGTGGCGCAGCTCGTGCAGCGACTCCAGAGGTAACTGCCCGGGGCCCCTCTGGGCTGGGGAGGCAGCGGCCGCTACTCGGGCCGGGACTGTTGCTGAGTTTGGCACTTCATTCTTGGCCTGTCTGTGCCTGTTACCTTGCAGGCCTCAGGGTGGAAGTAAGAGTTGAATTAGAGGTGACTTGGTTCTGAGTTCTAGAAATCAATGTGAAGGAAGATTCCGAATCTGGAAACTGCTGGAAAAGCCACATGGCTTTGTGTATTTGTAGCTCTTGCCACGCAAATACAGGGCAGCTTAATTATGCAGCTTAATTATTGGCCAGAGAATGATCGTTCTTAGCCAAATGTTTGTATTTATCTGGTTTTTGGCTTTAAAGTTGAGTGTGAGAAATGCCAGCAGCTTGGGCGTGGTCAGCTCAGCGGGTGCGGGTACAGGTGTGTTCACCATGAGTCGTGTGTGTCTGGCCTGGAAGCCTCCTTGGTAGGGGCTCATCTGTGCCAGCCTGGAGGGGGCTTTTGTGCCTGCCCAGTGGCCCCACCTGTTGCATGCATTATGGGTGAGGACTCTGGGGTGATGACCTCACTCTCCCAGCTTGTTGTAGGAGTATCCATGGGAACCAGGCCCCTCGTGACAGACTGCCATCCGACACAGGTGCAGACATTGGGAAGCAGTGGGTGTGTGCCGGGCAGCCGCTCTGTATGACCCGAGGGTGATTTGTCACCTCGCTGTCATGCATCTTCAGCTGTCCAGGCTGATGCGCCTCCCAAAGCTGGCTGAGCCTCTGTGATCATGAGGGGCGTTTCCAGGTCTCTCCTGAGACTGCATCCCTCCTGACAGTATATAAAGAAGTTTGGGCATGTAAGGCCCTTTTGCCATTTGGAAATGATGGAAGGGGCTGCCCACTGTCCTGTGCAGAGCCCCTCTAAGCAGGGTCAGCAGAAGAAAGCCATGGTTCTGATGCTTCAGGTTTATGCTTCTGAACTCAGTTTCCTCAGCAAAAGACATTATTTTTTGAGGTGCTAGAAAGTAAAAATGACTTACTTGGCTGCCTTCAGTTTTGAGGGAGGATGATCCCTCCCTCCTTTGATACCAAAAACAATATGGGAATAAAGGAAAATAGAATTGAAAAGTCACCATCTTCATCTAAACAGAAACATTTTGATTTCTCAAACTTAGTGTCACATACCTCATTTGAGTGGCATTGATTTCTCAGAAAGAGCCTTGTAATAAAACAAATAGAACAAAACCAGAAACAGGTGGAGGCGGTATTGTCTTGTTTGGTGTTTTGCTCTCTGCTTTTTTAGTATTACTTTTACAAACGATACTTTCCAGAATTGCCTGAAATTGTTATAAACTGTTTATAGACATGACGTGATTTTCCCAGCAGCTCCAGGGCAGAGTGTGTGGCTTGTATGTGTTCAACTGATGCGTGCTTCCCATTCCCAGCAATACCCCCCTGCCTGCGCCCCTGCCCCCGCCCCCGCCCCATGCTGCTGCTTTTAGTTGTTAAGGCAAGTTGATCTGTACCAGTGCTGGCCAGTAGAAGTACAGCGGGGGGCCCCACATAGAATTTTATGTTATCTCCTGGATGTGGTGGCTCAAGCCTGTAATTCCAGTGTTTTGGGAGGCCTCGGCAGGAGGATCGCTTGAGGCCAAGAGCTTGAGACCAGCCTGGGCAAAAATAGGAAGACCCTGTGTCTACCCAAAAACAAAAAAAGCCAGGCATGGTGGCTTGCACCTGTGGTCCTAGCTACTTGGGAGGCTGAGGCTGGAGAATTGCTTGAGCTGAGGAGTTTGAGGCTACACCTGTGATCACCTCTGCACTTCACGCTGGGCAACAAGTGGGACCCTGTCTCTAAAAGCCAAACAAAAAAAGATTTTCACATTTTCTAGTAGCCTTATTTTTAAAAAGAAAAATGGAAGTGAAATTAGTTTCAACAACACATTTTTTAACCTGCCAGATCCAAAGTATTATTTCAACATGAATACCAGCAATCATCAGTAAGATATTTTAAATTTTGGGGGGACTGTCTTTGGAATGATGTGTATTTTACACTTAGCAGTGCGTCTCCATTCAGACTCAGCACATGCCACGTGCTCACTGAGCATTGTGGCTGGGGTTGACCCTGTTTATCCTTGTGTGGGTCTGTAGCTACTGATGTCTATGCTGTATTTAAAACCTGACTTCGCAGCGATTCACGGGGGAGGCTGAGTCGGTGCACTCTTCCCTTTGTCTGTGATGAGTGCCCTTTTTTCCGCCTCTGTCCTCAGGCGACCTGCCTCTCTGCGTGCTTATCGTCTCCCTTGCAGGCTTGGCTGTGGCGTCTACTTCTTTCTTCTCTGCTCCTGAAGCTCCCTCTGAGCATTCACCCCCAATGGCTGCCAAAACCATGGTGGCCATGGCTTAGACTTCCTGCCAGTTTTGCTCCGAACATGTCATTTCAGTGGATGACCATAGGAAAAGTGAGAGCTGCCTCTCATCTGAAGCATTTTCAGAGCCTTTCTGTCTCAGTTGCAATTAATGTTTGCATTCTTTTGTGTGACATCAACTCGTCCCATGATTTAGTCATTGGTATTTCTTGAAAATTGAGTCTTAGGATCCATGGCTATTAGGTGTGCTTTTGGAGGACCTTATGTAACCATTTGCTGTCTGGTAGAGTGCCAAGTATTTCCAGAGCCTTGAAAGAGGAGCTCTGAATTGTAACGTTTGAGATAAGTCTCGTTAAATACTTCAGCCATCTCTCCTGGACATGTGACTTGGAGTCCGCTGTAAAATGGTTGAGGAAATCTTGGTCATGAGGGGACCCCGTCCTTATCCTTTTTTGTATTCTAAAGCAAGACAGTATTGTAGAATGTTTGGAAGACACAGAAATTACCCATGAACGCACCACGGTAGCCCAAATCTCAGCATCATCTTTGGGTGCATTGCCTTCTATGGTTATACCAGGTTATAAACTTACTGAATTCTCTTATCTACCTGCAAATTACAGTGCAGATAAGATTTTTTAGACTTTCTATAGTATTTATTTTAGGATACAGAATTTGTGCATGTAAACTAATATAGTGCACATACACAGGTTGAATATCCCAAATCCCCAAATCTGAAACTTTAAGCGTCAGCGTGAGGCTCAAAGGAACTGCCCCCTGGGGCATGTCAGATTTTGGGTTTTGGGATGCACACCGGTAAGTATAATGCAGATTCCCGGATCCAAAGCCAGAAGGGTTTGAGATAGGGGATGTGTCCAACCTGTAATTTTCTATGTACTTTTAAACTTGTACATATTTTTAATATTGTGTGTGTAGATATCTGTAGATACAGATAATTACCATTTTTAACCTCTATTATTTCAGTTTATATAATTTACTTAACTGATTTTGTACTGTTGGGCATGAAAGTTGTTTCCAAATTGAGTATAATTACGAAAATCCAGAGAGACATCTTTGTACAGACATGTTTTTCCTGCTTTGGACCATATTTCAGAAGCAGTTCTAGGAAATAGATTCTTGGACTATCACTATTTTTGTGGTCAAAAAGGGTTTCCTGCACTCATATTAGGAATGTATATGCATCCCTAGAATCTTACCATCATTGTGTATATATCAATTTTCAGCTTTTGAAAATTGATGTGCATTCTGTTAATATCTTTATGTGCATTCTGTTAATATTAAGACTCATTAACCCATTGATATTTCCTCCACTTATTTTTGTATGACTTGCAATTTCCTATGAAACATGAGATTTTGGTTACTATGTGAATTTTTGCGTAGAGATGAGAAATGCCATGTATTGACTCCTCTCTCTGTTTTCCCCTAGATATTCTCTAAGTGGTGGAGGAACTTCATCCCACTGAAATTCCTTTGGCATTTGGGATTTTGTTTTTTTCCCTTTTTCTTCTTCATCCTCCTTCTTTTCAAAAGTCAACGAGAGCCTTCGCTGACTCCACTGAAGAGGTGTGCCGCCAGGGGCCACCCTGATGCCGGGCGCCCACCCAGGGACACACACAGTCCTCGCTGTGCCGCAGCCAGATGAAGTCTCTCAGATGGGTGGGGAGGGTCAGCTCCTTCCAGCGATCATTTTATTACTTTTGTTTTTAATTTTAACCATAGTGCACATATTCAAGGGAAGCGTCTTTAAAAATGAAAACAAACCCTGAAATGTATATTTGGGATTATGATAAGGCAACTAAAGACATGAAACCTCAGGTATTCTGCTTTACGTGGAGAACTCCCTCTGGGAGCTGGAGAATCGCTCTGGTGGATGGGTGTACAGATTTGTATATAGTGTCATTTTTATGGAAACCCTTTCGGCGTGCATAAGGAATCACTGTGTACAAACTGGCCAAGTGCTTCTGTAGATAATGTCAGTGGAGTAAATATTCGCCAGGCCATAACTTGAGTCGATTGCCTTGCCTTTATTACATGTAAATTTTGAATTCTGTGACCAGTGATTTGGGTTTTATTTTGTATTTGCAGGGTTTGTCGTTAATAATCATTAAGGCCCCTCTCTTACAGAACACTCCTGTTTGTACCTCAGCAAATGCAAATTTTCCTCGTTTGCCCTGCACCTCTTTCGGTACACGTAAAGGTTGATTTCCTTTTTCATTGACGGTACTATTTCTTAGTGTTTTAAATTGGAACATATCTTGCCTCATGAAGCTTTAAATTATTATTTTCAGCTTCTCCCCATGAAGCGCTCTCGTCTGACATTTGTTTGGAATTGTGCCACTGCTGGTCTGCACCAGATGGACCATCCTATCTAATACGATTTTTTGTTGCACCTTGTAGTGGATTCTGCATATCATCTTTCCCACTTAAAAATGTCTGAATGCTTACACGAATAAATTTTATAACATGCTTATTTTGCATACTCCTTGAAATGTGACTCTCCAGAGGATAGGGCACCTGCTGTGTACGTGTGGCTGTGCATGTGTACTCATGGCTGTGTGTGTGTAACAGGACACTTTGGAAGACTCCAGGGAAAAGTCCACAGGTGTGGAGCTGCCGAGTGCCCAGTTCAGCACCCTGGACAGCTTGTGCACCTGTTCACCGAGACCATGTGGTTGGACGTTGCTGATCTGTGCAATGGCTATAGCGCTTGCCAGGGACGTTAAGGGTGGTTTTGCTTCTCTGAAAGGGGCCTGTGCTTGACTTCGGCAGCTAGCCGTGTCTGTTTTTCCTGGTTTGCCGTGGGGCTTTGCTTGGTGAGGGGGAAAAAATCTGGGGGTTTCTGGAATGGGGAAGAATTCTTGCAGCAGCAGTTGACTGGTACATGAAGCATTCTTTGATGTTTGTGGAAGCAGATTATTGTCATCTCCTGTGGGTGTGCCAGTTCTTGGGGAGTAAGACATAAGGAGTTTCGGAAGCAAGGAAGTTCATGTGTGAGCGCCTGGGGATGCAGCTCGGCTATCTGCTGGTCTAGTGGCCTGGAAGTCATGGGGAGGGGAGAGCGCCCTGAGCTACAGATGCTCGAGTGGGTTATTGTATCGATTTGCTAGTGCAGTCTGGTTTTCAAACTCTAAGATTGAGATATTTTATTAGAAGTGGATTTGGGTTGAACCCTTAATTTCTATAAGGGATATATTTTGGTTAGGGGAAACAGAACTGAGTTGCTAATTCTTATTGTACTTATTACTCTGCACAAGAATGTTATCTTGAACAATAAAATTGGAGATGATTTCATTTTGTTTCCAGGGAGTATTCTGTGTGTGGGAACCATTGCCCTACTTGCGGCATGCGGCCGAGGCCAAAGGTTAGTTTGGTCCTTTGCGAGATAATCACACAAATGAGTCTCTGTTCCCCCAGGGTGTGCCATTACCTGATTTTTAAGGGAGCCAGGGTGGACAGCAGTTTATAGAGTTCTTCAGATTTACAAATGGACAGTGACGTCACGATTTTTAACGCTGAAGCCAATCTCATGCCAGTAACGGTGGCTGTGCTGCTTGAGGGACTGGGTCCTAATGAAGAATATTGGTATGAACAGGGATCTCTGCAGTCATCCGACTGATCATGCTCAGCTCCTTTCCCTGTGGACAGGTGATTCTTTGAGAGTTGACTGGCACTGTGTCCCGTCAGTTCTCCCTCCTGAGGGAGGCTGGGGTTTGGTGGAGTTAGAAAGCAGCTTGCCTGTGTGTGCGCTCTCTCCTGAGCCGTTACTTTCTGTAGACACACACAGTCAGCTGGAACGTTTTAAAGGGCAGCTTAGCCAAGGAAGCTGGCCTTCGTGTAGCCGCTTCCAGCCCTGCATTCAGAGAGAACCCAGGTAACTAGCGTTGTCACCAGAACCTGGCTCAGCATCACCTGCCACTGGTCTGTAGCCAGGCCCGTGGGCCCAGCCTTTGCGACAGGTGTACCGTCACCAGTCTCTCAGTGTCAGCCCTGAGCTGCTGCCCGGAGCCTGCAGCCTGGGTGGGAGGATGCTCAGCCTCTGTGTCTGGGGGACGGGGGGGCTGGGTGGCTGGTAGCTCCTGCCTTTTTGAGCTGTGTCTTGGCTGGCTGCTGCCGGTGAGGTGTGAGATGCCCTGGCTGCCTCCCGCTGGGCTTTGATTTTCTTGGACGTGCATCTGCCTTCCTTACTCAACCGTTTTATTCCCGAGTTGCTTTTGTGAAGTGGCTGGTGTGGTTTTGGATGTAGCATTCTGTACCTTTCCTTTGGCAAAACATGGTCAGTTGATAAACATTTTTGATATTTCTTTCCTTAAAAAACACAGCTTCTGTATTTCTGCTATAAAACATGTCAGCAAAGGCAGAGTGAGCCTAACAGGGCACGTTCTTTAGCACAGGGACTGTGTCATGCAGGGGCCAATAAAGCTCAAGAAAATGAGGATTTGCTGTCAAGAGTGTGTCTCATGTGTAGTGTGTCTGAAACTCCATCTGTCCCTGGCAGCTTGAGTGGACTGCTGCCCACACCATAGTATTTTCCTGTGGGCACACAGGAGGCAAAGGTGCTGGTCACAAATAGAACCACCAGTGTGCAGCAGATAGTTTGGAATCATTCAGAAATAAGTGAGGAGCCTGGCTCGTCCCGTATCTCCAGGAATGAGGGATCGGGGACTTCTGGAGGGAGCCCGCTGCAGCTGCGTCACGTGCCTTGGCGCCATGGACTCTGCCCCTGCCTGCAGGTAGGAGGAGCACAGGCTCCAGGGCCCCTCCTTACCTCACCTCAACACTTGGGCTTTAGAAACCCAATGCTGGGGTGTCCTCTCTGCTTCCCTCCCCCCCCCACACACACATAGAAAATGAAGATGACAAAGTTAGCTGTTTTGCCTTAAAACGTCAATATATGCTGGATTGTGGCGTGAGGTATTTTATTCCCTTTGTTAGTACTGGAAACTGTCTGGTACATCTTGTAAGGCAAATGTTTAACACGCGTCGGGCTCCTCGTCTGTTTGCGAGTCGCCGTTTCCAGGTACGCCAGTCAGAGCTCCACAGAGGGCGTGTCTCGTCCTCGGGTGGGCAGGCTCTCCCGGCTGCAGCGCGGGGCACTGGAGAGAATGGGAGTGAATCGGTCGTCCCCTTCGCTGTTTGAGGAGGAGGAGGGCTTAGGAACACCGAGGGACTGGCAGCTACCCATCACCATCGAGAACAGGCAGGCATTTTCCGAGCTGGGGCCTGAGCCGCTATTGGAAACCGTGTTCCCTGTGCAGTCCAACAACTGACTACCCCATGCCTGGGAGGAACGAGTATAAAAAGGTGAATGTTTCTGAAGACAGGCACAATACATACTACTAGAGACTGCGCAGTTTCAAACCACAGCTGCGGGAGGATACAGGAGTAATGACAGGTGCCGGGGACTACGTACCATGACTTCGTCGTGCTCTGCAGCCAGCACGCTCACTACACGCTCATCACGCAACATACCGCACATGGCCCTGATCAATGACATACAGCTTTTCATGCTTGTGACACAGACAGCAAAACACCACGGCTTACTATCTATCTTCTCATTGCGTACAGCCCTCACGGTACGGTGACAGTCCAGGTATTGCACTGGATCTCGGCTTTTCTTCACAGAAAACAACCCGCTACGGTTTGGAAAGAGTTACCACTTAAATGATTTGGTCAACTTGCACCAAGCAGGTCGGGCACAGGTGTTTTCAGTTGAGCGTGAACCCCCGCAGTGGAACGCAGTGTGCTGCAAATTGCTTATTAATCACAGGAGTGAGTCCTACTAACTTCCTATTATTACAAAAGTAGAAAGACTGGAAACGAAATCTGAAAGTGATCTCATTTGCTTAAGGCTGCGCCGAGTGTATTGCGAACACTGGGAAATCCACTTCGTAAAACGCAGCAGCCCAGGGGTGAGAATCATGTTTCCTTTTTTTAGGAAAAAAACAAACAATTTGCACTGTCTTGTGTTGAACGGATGTGTGTGTACTGTTTTCCAGGGGCAGGGTGGAGGGGAAGATGGTGTTTGGCACTCGTAATGACAATGTTTTAATACTGGCACGAGCCAAAGAACAGCGCCCCCAGCGGGTGCCTGGAGGCGGAAGCGCTGTTCTGTTCAGAGGCAGAGAAGACAGGGTTAAAAAACACGGCCGTGGAGACAGGAGAGGTGCTGGGAAGCCATGTTTTTGATTCTCAGACAGGTGTTAATTTTACCAGGCTTCATGAATGCAGAAGAAACTTCTTCCAGGAAAGCAGCCACTGCAGAAACGGTAATGTGTCCAGCCATCAATACACGAGAGACTCTTTGTGACTCAACACGGGGGCTCGTGAGGAGGAGCTGGTGGCGCTGCGGATCACTTCCATCCACCTGCAACACAGGAAAGCCAGTGACACCCTCGGGACGCTGTAGTCCACCTTTTGCTTGGGTGGGCATCACTTACAGAAACACAGGGTCATGTCCTGCCACCTGGTTTGTAATCTGCCACTTCAGCAGAAGAGCAAGGCAACTCCCAGCACCCAGGCCTGAGACCCATGGGCCTGGGCACATACTCAGGTAGGGAGCTGGAAGTACCTGAGACCCAGGTGCCTTGCTGAGGTGACACAGCCCACTCCGCTGGAGCATTGAGGAGGGAGGTGGCCTCCGGTTGTTGGGGAGAATGCTGCCTCCTATTTTCATGGACCGTGCAGAGAACAGTGGTGCAGGTGGTGCATGCCCCATTTTGTGTAGTAAAAACTCCCAGCTCCTGGATTTTTTTTTTTTTTTTTTTTTAAGACAGGGTCTTGCTCTGTCATCCACACTGGAGTTGAGTGGGGCACTTGTAGCTCACTGCAGCCTACCTCTGGGGCTCAAATCAGTCCTCCAGCCTCAGCCTCCCAGGAGCTGCCAAGTCTCCCTTTTGTGTATTTGCTCTATACCAGTGGTTCTAAACTGGGAGCAATGCTGTCCCATGTGGTAAAGTCTGCAGACATTTTTAGATGTCACAGGGAGGGGTTGCTGCTGGCATCCAGTGGGTCGAGAGGCCAGGGATGCCGCTAAACACCCTGCAGGACGGACTCCCCGAATTACCTGGCCTCCTTGTCCCAGGCCTTTCAGGATCTGGACTGCAAGGCTGGACTCTGCCACAGTAACAACAAAATCCCAACATGGATAAACCCAGCTCTTGAGCTCAGTCCTTCAGGCTGAGTTTTTCCGTCCAGGATCAGATTTGAGGACGACTCTCCTCGAGGTTCCTTTTTCAGGCAGAACTGTGGATGTCACAGGAGTTTTAAACTCTGGTTTTAAAGGACTGTGCTAATTTACTGGAAGTGTGCACTGTCCTGATTGGCCTCACTGCTTTAGAAATCCTTGTAGAGTTCAGCATCAGTTCTCTCTTACAGCAGCAGAAAAGCTGCTCCCTGAATGGGGAACTGCCCTGTCTGGACTGCGGCCCGAGGACCCCTCCCTCCACCCCAGGGGGCAGCTCAGCAGTGCCA